GCCTAACCAAAACTTTAGATAATGTCCGCATTCTATTAGCTTATTAAACTTTTTCTGTTTATTTATTTGGTCTTTAATTTTTTTAATTTTATTTTTATTTTATGTGTATGTATGTATTACCAGCATGTAGGTAGGTGTACTCATGTCATGCCATGCCCACAGAGATCAGAAGAGGGCATCAGATTTGCTGGAACTGGAGTTATGTACATTGTTAGCCACCATGTGGGTACTGGGATTGGAACCTGGGTCTTTTGCGTTAACAGTCACTTCTCTTAACTGCTGAATCATCTCTCCAGCCCTCAGTAGACTATTTTCTTAAAAGACCAAATAAGGGCTGGAGAGATGATTCAGCAGTTAAGAGCACTGGCTGTTCTCGCAGAAGACCTGGGTTCCAATCCCAGCACCCGCGTGGCAGCTGACAACCATCCATAACTCCAGTTCCAGGGGATCTGACACCATCTTTTGTTCTCTGTGGGCACTTCATGACACAGGTGCACTCACATACATGCAGACATAACACTCATACACAAAAAATAAAAATAAACTTAGGGGCTGGAGAGATGGCTCAGCGGTTAAGAGCACTGACTGCTCTTGCAGAGGACCCGGGTTCGATTCCCAGCACCCACATGGTGGCTAAGAACCGTCCTTAACTCCAGTTTCAGGGGAATCCAAAGCCCTCTTCTGACCTCTGGCATTGCATGACTCGGATGCACTCACATACATGCAGGCAATACACTCATACATATAAAATAAAAATAATAAAATATTTTTAAAAGATAAAAAATAAAAAAATAAATTTAAATTTTTCCTAAATATTTTATTTATTTTATGTGTATGTGTGTATTGCCTGCATGTAGGTAAGGGCACCCGTGTCGTGCAATGCCCGCGGAGGTCAGAAGAGGCTGTCGGATCCCCTGGGACTGGAATTACAGACAGTTGTTAGCTGCCATGTGGGTGCTGGAATTCGAACCCCAGCCTTCTGCAAGAACAGTCAGTGTTCTTAACTGTTGAGCCAACTCTCCAGCCCTTTTTTTTTCGGACTTTTTGAGACAGGGTCTCCCTGTGGCCCCAGCTGTCCTGGAACTATGTAGACCAGGCTAGCCTCAAACTCACGCCTGCCTCTGCCTCCAAGTCCTGGGATTAAAGGTGTACGCCACCACACCCGGCCCATTATTTTCATGTGTATGAGTGTTTTGCCTGCATGTGTGGAAGTGCACCCGTGTTGTGCAATGCCCGAGAAGGTCAGAAGAGGGTGTCAGAGCCTCTGAAACCAGAGTTACAGATGGTTGTTAGCCACCATGTGGGTACTGGGAATTAAACCTGAGTCCTCTGCAAGAGCAGCCAGTGCTCTTAACTGGCATCTCTCCAGCCCTATTTGGACTTTTAGATACAGGGTCTCCCTGTAGTCACAGCTGGCTTGGAACTCACTATGTAGACCAGGCTGGCCTGAAACTCATAGAGATTCACCTGCTTCTGCCTCCTGAGTGCTGGGATTTTATAAAGGCTTGCACTCATTATTTGGGTTTGTTTTGTTTTTGTTTTTGTTTTGATGGCTAGGTAACCACATATTTATGGGTTACAATGTGATACTGTTATACATGTGTACTGCAAATGGTGATGAAAACAGTGAGTGATGACATGCCCCACTGCAGAAAACCAGAAATTCTCTGAAACTGCTGCTGACCTTATCTGCCTCTGAGACTGCTACTACCCTTCTCTATCAATCACACCCTGATCCCGGGGGGAACTGTTTGAGACAGGCTGTTGCTCAGAATAGCCAGTCCTACTTGAGCAAGTGTCTCCACAAAATGAGCCACACAGCCCCCTGCAGCTGCATCCACTTCCTCACGCCCTAGCCCCTGTATGATCTCCACATTCACAGTGCAGTTGCCTCCAGCATGTGGGGAGGCTTGCTGTCGCTTACCATACTTGGAATAAACTCAGTCTTGTCTGAAGTCAGGTGCAATCTCTTTTTCTCCTATGGTTCCTGTTTTCTGTGCCCCCAAGCCTAACAGTGAGTGTGGTCAGTGAACATGTATCATCTCTTCCTGGTGCAAGCTTGAAATCTCTGGTCACTTTGCAGCCTACTTTGTCTGTTGCAATCACCTGCTAGAATTTACTCTTCTTTTCTACCTGTAATACTGTAACCTTTGACCAACCTCTCAAGTTCTTCTTCCCCCTCTGGTAACCTCTATAAACTCTCTATTTCTACATCAATTTACTTAGTCTTCACAGACTGAGGTCACATGATTCATTTCCCTTAATGTAGATCCTCCAGCCTCATCCCTGTTAGTACAAATAAAAACACTTAGTCTTTTTCAGGGCTGAGTAGTATCCATGATGTATACAGATCACATTTTCTTTATCTGTTTACCTATTGATAGATATGTAAGTTGATTTCATGTCTTGGGTCTTGTGCTGCAACACAGAGAGAGGTGCAGGGGTATTCTCAGCATGCTGATTTCCTTTCCTATAGGAATACATCCCCAATAGTGGGATGTACAGATTCTATGGTCCTAAGTTTTTAGGAACTTCTATAGTTTTCCCTAATAGCTATTTTAATATAATATATTGATAAAGATCCACATGCAGGTACTCTCTCTCTAGCCTGAGATGGAAACCAGGACCTCATACAAGCTACCAAGCACACTACCTCTGAGCTACAGCCACAGCCCCCTGTGCCGGATGCAAATAATTGTGCCCAAGAAAGCCTTCCACTCCTTTCCTTTGGTGCTGGGGATGGAACCCAGGGCCTTAGTCATGGTCGACGAGTGTTGTACTACTGAAATTTTAAAATTTCATTTGGCCAGGCATGATGGCACATACCTTTAATCCCAGCACTTGGAAGACAGAGAGGCAGGTGGATCTCTATGAGATTGAAGCCAGCCTGGTCTACATAGGGAGTTCCAGGCCAGCTGGGGCTACAGGGAGAACCTGTCTCAAAACAAAAATTATAGCTGAGTGTGGTGATGCACACCTTTAATCCCAGCACTCTGGAGGCAGGGACAGGCAGATCTCTGTGAGTTTCAGGCCAGCCTGGTCTACATAGTGCACTTCAGGCCAGCTGGGGTTACAGGGAGACCCTGTCGCCAAATGACAAAAAAAAAACAAAAAAAAAAAAACTGAAAAAAAAAAAAAAAAAAAAACGGAAAAAAAAAAAAAAAAAACATCAAACAATTGGAGGTAATGGCTGGCTATGTATCACAAGCTAGCCTGAAGCTCACAGTCTTGGGTGCCACCATACCTGGCTGCCCACACTGTTCTCAGCCTTCAGATTTGAAATGCAGATTCCCTGGCACCTGGATTCTGCAGAGGCTAGGGACCAGGAGTCTGGGCTTTTCACTACCATCTTTCCCCCACCTCCATCCTGCCTGCCCCTTCCAGGGATCCACCATCAGTGGTTGCAGTAGCATCTACCCATGCCAGATCTGAGGCGAGTAGGCTCAGCAGGAAGAGCACTGACTGCTGTAGAAGACCCAGGTTCAGTTCCCAGTACCCACAAGGTGATTAACAATGGTCCCTAACTCCAGTTCCAGAGGATCTGATGCCATCTTCTGGCCTCTGCAGGCATTGCATGACACAGGTGCACTTACCTCCACGCAGGCAAAACACACATAAAATGAATAAATTTAAAAATTTTTAAATTCCTTGAGAAACCAGGCATGGTGACTCACACCTGTGTTCTCAGACCTCTAAAGGCTGAGGCAAGAGTACTGCTCTAAATTCAAGGCTAGCCTGGGCTATATCCCCAAGATACAGGCCTGCAACTTCAGTTCTCAGAATGGGAGGTGGAGGCAGGAGGACCACAAATTCACAGTCACCTGGGCTGCATAGCAAACTCCAAGCTAACCTAGGCTATGTGAGACTGTGTTGAAGCTGTGGGGCCCTGGGAAAAGCGAGGGGGCAAGGAGTGGAGTCCAGTTCAATTTCCTGGCTAAAGCACCAGGATCTGTCCTTGAGGGGTCCACCCTGATGGGTGAAAGATCCTGAACAACCAGCAGTGAGTTCTGTACTTCCAGGTAGAAGCAAGGAACCAGTCTCTGTATGAAGTGAACCCACCCCAATTCATGAAGTCTCAGTTTCCTTCTCTGGAAAATGGGCATGCCTGTCACCCCAGAATTTGAGGGCAAGGTAAATTTGAGGTCAGCCAGGCTACAGAAGGAGTTCCAGGTCTATCTTGGCTAAAGTGACCTCAAAACAACAGCCACAAAAATAATAAGGCTGGTGACATAGCTCAGCAGGTTCACATGCCTGAGGACCTGAGTTCAATTCCTGGGACCCACATGGTGAGAGACCTGAGGCCCATAAGTTGTATTCTGACATCCACACATGCACATGCACGCACATACAAATAAATAAATGTAACTTTTTTAAATGCTTAGGTTTAAGTTAATAATAAATAAATAAATTCCCCATGTGGGTCCTGGGGATTGAACTCAAATGGTCAATCTTAGCAGCAAGCTCTTTTTACCCACTGAGCCCTCTCCCTGGCCCTATTTGTTCATTTATTTCTCGTGGTTTTTCTCTGAACATTTATTGATTGGTTGATTGAGAGAGAGAGAGAGAGAGAGAGAGAGAGAGAGAGAGAGAGAGAGCAGTGTGAGTCAGAGGACAACTTGTGGAAGTTGGGTTGGTTGTCTACTTCCACCACGTGGGTCTTGAAGATCAAACTCAGGTCCTCAGGCTTGGTGGCAAGCCCCCTAACCTGCCGAGCCATGTCGCCAGCCTTAGTATCTTCGCTGCTGTTTTGAGGCAGGGTCTCAGTCTAGCCCAGGCTGACCTGGAATTCCCTCTGAGGCCTGGCTCTCCAAGTGCTGGGGTGACAGGTATGCCCATTTTACAGAATAGGAAACTGAGACCCAATGAGCTGGGTGGGGGAGGATGTTGCTGGGGTCTGGGGGAAGGGGAGGAGGAGAAGGAGGAGCGCAGGGGAGAACGGAGACCCGCAGGCAGTCGCACAGTGCGGCCCCGCCCCCACGGGGGACGTGCAGACGCGGACCCCGCGCAGCGTGGGGACATGTGACCGACTGCAGAGGCCGCGCTGCATCCCGGCCCGGGCCGCCGCTACTGCGCAGGACGAGGGGACCCGTAAGCACCAAGCAAGGAGCACCGAGCGGGAAGCACCAAGCAGGGAGCACCAAGCGTGCAGCACCGAGTGGGCTGTACCGAGCCGGCCGCGGGTGCAGAGGCGGGGTCCCCAGCATCCCGGAGAACCGAAACCGAAAGAGAGGGTCCGGTAGGGAAGGCGGAGCTGCAGCGGGTGCCGCCCCAGCTGTGCGCGGCCGGAGGACCAGGTGCACAGGCCACCATGGCCCAGGATGGCGTGGAGGTAGGAGAGGCCGCGGGGATGCTCTGGGCGCTGCGGGGAGGGCGCCAGGGGCGGGGACACCCCACGCATCCTCCGCACACCCCTGTCCCTGGGGGCTCCCTGGGGGGCGAACAGCACCTCCCACATCCCTTGAGCTGTGATGTCCTCTCTTCCGCATCCCCAGATTCAGTAGAGGCTGCAGGGTCAGAGATCACAAGACAAAGTCGGGGGATGGGTGACCTGTCTTGCTTCCTACTACAGGGACAAACGCCCCCAAACCCCAAATCGACAGCCCAGAGATTGGGGCCTGCGCCGCGGTCCCCACCCTCCCCCAATGCCCCAGGAGGACTTTGGATTTTTCCAGGAAATGGCTTAAAGGGAAAGACGGGGGAGGGATGCGCAGTCCAAAAACCGGAATCAAGTTCAGGCCGCGAGGGTGATACTTGAGGCGGGTAGGGGAGCTCCGCTCTCGGGATCTCCCCTCCCCATAACTGTTCCCTCTTGGCCCGACCCCAGTTGGAAAAGAGCGTCAGGCGCCTCCGGGAGAAGTTTCATGGAAAAGTGTCCCCCAAGAAAGCGGGAGCACTTATGAGGAAATTTGGCAGCGACCACACTGGAGTGGGGCGCTCTATCGTGTACGGTGAGTGAGCCCTGAGTGGGCGGAACCCCGCGCCGTGGGAGGCGGGGAGTTTGAGGAGAGGCTTTCCACCACCTGCAACTCCCACACACCCTTCAAGAGCCCTTTGCTTATTCTCTCTCCAGGTGTCAAACAGAAAGATGGACAGGAGTTGAGTAATGACCTGGACGCCCAGGTAACCTGCGGAGGGGGTTAAAAGGAGCCAGAATAGAGGGGATCCCCCTTCCTCTTCAGCAGCAGGAACCAACCACTACGTGGGGACCCAGCCTCTGGGCTTTCTTATATTTTATTTTGATTTTTAAAACAGGGTCTCTCTGTAGCCCCAGTTGATCTGGTACTCACTATGTAGACCAGGCTGGCTTCAATCTCACAGAGATCCACCTGCCTTTGTGTCCCAGGTGCTGGGATTAAAGGTGTGCACCACCATGCTGGGCTCCTTCACTTTGTCAGCTCAATCTGAAGCCTGCAAACAGTAGGCACTCATTATGTGTTCATTGTTGGACACGGAAGAGACAGGTCAGATAAGGAGATTAGGGAGTATGGTGGGCCCTCCCTGGAGGAGGTGAGGGGAGACTTTCCAGGAAAAAGGAAGTAGCCTTCCTTTGCACAAGAAGAAAAGCTGGGCTGAGTTGGAATGTGGGGGGAGGGAGGTGGCTGCAGAGAAAAGGGACAGAAGCAAGGGAAGGGTGGACCAGGGAATGAAGGACTGAATAATGAAATATGATCATTTTAACGCCTAGCTTCGGTGGCTGGTACCCTGTGTGTTTTTATTTTTTGTGTATAAGTGTTTTACCTACATATATATGCGCCTGTGCCATGTAATGCCCGAGGAGGCCAGAAGAGGACATTGGATCCCCTGGAACTGGAGTTACAGTTGTTAGCTGCAGTGTGGGTGCTGAGAACCGAACCTAGGTCCTCTGCAAGAGCAGCCAGTGCTCTTAACCACTGAACCAGCTCTCTAGCCCCACAGTCCTGTTATTTATACAAGAACTCTGAGCTCCAAAGTGATGCTATCTCACATCAGGTTCCTGTGGCCAGAAGGTGGCTGGTGGAATTCAAACTCTAGCCACTTGGAACTGGAGTCTGGGCTCTGAGAAGCCCTTCTGTGAGGACTCAGGTGGAGAGAGGGGCTTGCCCACCATCGGACAGCTGGGAACCATAGAGCTGCCATTCAGACCTGCAACCAGCTGATTCGAGTTCTCAAACCCCAGAGCCTTTGAAAGTCATGTGACCTATGGTCTATCGCGCTGGCTCAGCAGTTAAGAGCACTTGGCTGCTCTTGCAGAGGACCAGGGTTTGTTCCCAGCACCCAAATGGCAGCTAACAACTGTCCATAACTCCAGTTCCAGGGGCTCTGACACCCTCTTCTGACCTCTGTGGACACTGCACAAATGTGCATATAAGCACATATAGACATACACGTAATATTTTTAAACATTTTTCTTCTTTAAAGCCACCTGGCCTCAAAAAGGCCTGTTGCAGCCTCTTAACAGAGAAGGCTTCCAGGGGTCTGGGTTGTTCAACTGGTCACACTTGCTGAGAATGGTCTGATTCTGGACCTGTTTCCCCATCTGGAAAATGGGAAAAACAAATGTGTTCACTTTGAAGGGGTATTTGGGGGTTGTTAAGTTTTACAATACTAGATAATGAGTCTGGGACTTAATGCAATAGGCAGGGGTCTACTGCTGAGCCTCGCCTGAGCCTTCTGTTTACTTCCTAAGACTGCACCTTACTTTGTAGCTGTGTCTAGTCTTGAAGTTGTGATCCTCCTGCCTTAGCTTCCCAAGGATCTTGAATGCCAGGTCTGCACCACAGGGCTTGGCTCAGTAGCAATTTGAAAAGCTGAGAGCACCCACTGGCCCTCAGCAACAGGCACATTGGGTGACACTGGGAAACACTGGCTCCACATAGAGCCAGGGCCCTGTGTCCCCATCTGGGAGCCCCAGGTGTGGAGGCCTGTGAGCCCCAGTTTCCACCCCACCCCGTATCTCTTCCCTCAGGACCCACCGGAGGACATGAAACAGGATCGGGACATCCAGGTTCGTTAGTGGCTGGGACAAGGCAGGGTGTGGGTATGGAAGAGATACTGGCAGACACACATCCATAGGCCAGCCAGGAGGAAGAGTGTTCATTAGGGATAAGATGCCGAGTCACTGAGGAGGTGACCCACTCTCATCCTATGTCACAGGCAGTGGCCACCTCACTCCTGCCCCTGACAGAGGCCAACCTGCGCATGTTTCAGCGAGCCCAGGATGACCTCATTCCTGCTGTGGACCGCCAGTTTGCCTGCTCGTCCTGTGACCATGTGTGGTGGCGCCGGGTACCCCAAAGGAAGGAGGTGACAAGGCCAGATGTCACATGATGATTCTGAACCTCACTCCTGAGCCCTGTTTAGAAACTAGATTTCTTAAAGTTTTTATGTGTATGAGGGTTTTGCCTGCATGTATGTAAGTGCACCATGTGCATGCACTGCCCACAGAGGCCAGAAGAGGGCGTCAGTTCCCCAAAACTGAAGTTACAGAGGTTGTTAGCCGCCATGTGGGTGCTGGGAACCAACCTGGGTCCTCTGCAAGAGCAGCCAGTGCTCTTAATCACTGAGCCAGCTCTCCAGCCTGTCCTCTTTCTTTTTTGGTTGCTATTGGTATTTGATTTTTGATTTTGTTGTTTCCTTTTCCAGACTATGCAGCCTGGAACTCACTATGTAGACCAGGCTGGCCTCAAACTCACAATCTTCCTGCCTCTGCCTCCCTAGTGCTGGGATTAAAGGGAATACCACCACTCCCAGCTGGCTGATGGGTTGGTTCCCCCCCACACACATAGCCCAGGCTAGCCTCAAACTCCCGAGGATGACCTTGAATTCTAGATCCTCCTGCCTCCACCTTCTGCTATCTTCTGATTATGGGGACAACAGGCATGCGCCACAATGCCCGGTCTATGTGGTACTAGGGATAAACCCTGGGCTTCATGCGTGCTAGGTGAGCATTCTACCAACTAAGTTGCAAGCACTCTGCCCACTGAACTGCAAGTACTCTAACAACTGAGATATTATCACTATGCCCACTATTTATCAGTGTGATGCCAGGGATGTAACTCAGGGCCTCCCACATTACAAAAGCACTCTACCAATCTTCTGCCCTCAGCCAGGTCAACTTCTCAGTGTTGAATGCAACTTGTTGGCACTTGAAATTGAGAGGTGAAGCCCTAGGCTTTGACAACTGGTGCAGAAATCAAACCTGACTCCCCAAAGTACAACTTCATACCTGACATCCTAGCCTCTTTGCATTATTAGTGTGTTTCTAATGAGACCTTAGCCAAGCCTGGGTTGGAGCTCAGTGGATAGAGTGCTTCTGGCTCAGTAGGCACAGAGCTTGCCTGGCATGCACAAGGTCCTGGGTTCATCCCCAGCACTGCACAAACCAGAGGTGACACACTTCTGTGGTCGCAGTAATTGGGAGGTGGAGGCAGAAGATCAGGAGTTCATGGTCATCCTTGGCTACATAGTGAGTTCAGAGCCAGCCTGGGTTAGGTGAGTCCCCATCTCAGCTTCTTTCACAGGGCATGGGGGAGTGCCGTCACTGCCTGCCTTGACAGCTGTAGGTCCCCCTTTCCATCCCTAAGGTCTCACGGTGTCGCCAGTGTCGTAAGCGATACGATCCGGTACCAAATGACAAGATGTGGGGCCTGGCTGAGTTCCACTGCCCAAAGTGTCGGCATAACTTCCGGTGAGGACCTAGATGACCCAGACTACCCCATCTGTGTACCCCACAACCCTATCCCCCCACCCCTCTTCGCATGCCCCATCCCCCAGACCCCCACAGCCTTGTGCACCCCCAGGGGCTGGGCACAGATGGGGTCCCAATCACCATGCTACGGGTGCGGCTTCCCGGTATATCCCACTCGGATCCTCCCCCCACGCTGGGACCACAGCACAGATAGGCGCAGCACCCACACCCACTCGTGCTCTGCTGCAGACTGCTACAACCGCAGAGGTGAGTACAGGTCCCTGAGCCTGCGTCCCTCTGAGCCTGCGTCCTCCTGAATTTGTGTCCTCAGTCTATTCCCGAGTCTGTGTCCCCAACCCTGTGTCTGTTTACCCTGAGTCTGTTTCACAACCCCTCAAGACAGTATCCGCCTGTGTCTGTCTCCAAGTCTGTAAACCCTGAGTTTGTCCCCCTATGTCTGTTTCACCCCCAGTGTGTCCCCTCAGTCTGTGGCCCACACTGTGTGCCCCCAAGTTTGTGTCCCCCTTTGTCTGTGTCATGTCCCAAAGTGTGGCCCCTATATCTGCCCCCCCAGTTTGTGTCCCCCCACCATGTCTGTTTCCCGAGTCTGCCTCAAGTGTGTGTCCCTGAGCTGTGTCCTGTTTGTTCCTCCTACATGTGTCCCCCAGTCTGTCCCTAGTCTTTGTCTTCCAGAGTCTGTCCCAAGTTTGTCCCCAAGTCTGTGCCTCATTGAGTTTGTGTCCGCCCCATGTCTCCCGAGTCTGTTTCACCGCCCCCCAAGTGTGTATCCTTTAAGTCCATGCCTTCTCAGTCCCCCAGTCTGTGCGCCCCTGAGTCTGTGTCTCCCCTTTTCTGTGTGGCCCAAGAGTCTCTGCCTCCTGAGTCTCTGCCCTGGAGTCTGCCTCCCCCAGTCTGTGTCCCTGGAGTCTTCATATCCCCAAGTCTGTGTCCCCGAGTCTGTATTCCCCATGTGGGACTTTGTCCAGCCCTGGGCTGTTACCTCTCCTCTCTCAGACCCCCATGGCTTCCCAGTGCCCAGCCGTCTAGCCTTGCCCACCCTTGCGGTTCTGACACTGCAGCCGAGGTCCCCACGGTCTCTGCCTCCGCAGTTGTTTTTGTCCCCACTTAAATACACAACTTTGACATCTGTAAACTGCTTGCAGCTCTGCCCCCCATACTGTATGGTCCCCCTACAGAGCCCTAGTGCCCCATCACCTCCAGGGTCTCACAGGACCTTTACGACTCTTTCTCCCAGAACCCCATGTCCCCGGGACCTCCTGTGCACACCCAAAGAGCCGCAAACAGAACCACCTCCCCAAAGTCCTGCACCCCAGCACCCCACACATCAGCAGTGGCTCCACAGTGGCCACATGTCTGAGCCAGGGTGGCCTCCTGGATGACCTGGACCATCTCATCCTCGAGGACCTGAAGGAGGAGGAGGAGGAAGACCAGGAGGATGGCACGCCCCAGGAGTGACCATGGCCAGTATACACAGGAGCAAACCAGACACGGTGTGTGGAAACCTTGTGTTGCTATAAGATGGGAGTTCAAGACTAGAGAGAGACCCCCCCCCTCAAGACCTAAGGGGACAGACAGGAACACAGTCACAGCTGCACCAGCCGGGTGAGCATGGCAGCCTTCTTTAGAGAGTACGCTCCCCCACGGAACTCGGCCCAGTAGACACCATCCTGGTAGCGGCTCCGGTAGTGGCCCCCATGGTGCCACACACCATTGAGGTTAGAGTGGGCACAGGCGTGGTACCACCAACCACCACGATGGTACAGTGCGCAGTTACCTGAGGGGAGAAGACAGTTGGTGTCCCCACCAAATAAAAGTCTCTACCAGCACCTCTTTGTAGGCATCCCTCTCCCAATCATACTGAATAGAAGCCCTGATCCTCCATCTCCATATCAAATAAAAGGCTCTGGCTTCTCACTTTCTTCTTCAGAGTAATATACTTAATGTGCTATCTCCTTACCAAAATATAAGTCATGCCTTTCCCATCTTTTCTGCAAAGTGATAGTCTAGCACTCATTTCTTGGGGGGAGGGGGAATTCTTGGATTCCTTTATAATAAAAAGAGCCTGTCCTGGGTGAGATGGCACACACTTTTATTCCCAGCACTCAAGAGGCAGAGGCAGATCTGAGTTCAAAGTCAGCCTGGTCTACATGGTGAGTTCCAAGCCAGGTGGAGTTATATAGTGAGACCCATAAGACCCTGTCTCAAAATAAATAATACAAGTCTAGGCTGGGAATGTAGCTCAGTGCTGACTCATGTGGCCCTAGAGTCAAATCCCAGTCCTGCCCCACCAGCACCACTGCCTAAAAAGAAGTCCTAGTCTTTTACTCTCTGCCCTAGTACAGGGCACCTAACTCTTGGCTCATCAGAGAAGAAAAGGGCTCTTATCCCTTCATCAGAATAATGAAAGTCCCTTGTTCTCTAGTCAGCCTAGAAGCTTCAGCCTAGAAGTTTCCTCACTGTGAAAGGGAAATTTCTTTTTGAGACAGGGTCTCCACTATAGTATATAACCCAAGGATGACCTCAAATTCCTGACTCTCCTACCTCCACCTCCCCACCTTACCAAGAGAAACTTAACTGCTTTTCATTCCCTTATCACAATTGGAGCCCCACCTCCCTACCCTCCCACCAGAAAAAAGTTCTTACCAGAATAGGAGTCTCGGTCTCTATCAACGGTGCTGAAGGGCCTGTCATTGTGCCAGGAGAGGGAGTCACCAGCATCCCCATGGTATTGACCAAGCCGCAGGCGGTAGTGGTCGCTCTCGGGCTCCAATGAGAAATTGTCATAGTGGGCACGTGCCCCGCGACCCCCCCAGTCCTGCAGAAGCACCAGCAGCTCGTGGTCCCCGCGGCTGGTCAGCTGGTACACAGGTTCCAAGCCCAGCCAGTACTCCCCGTCAGGCCTCCCGAAGCCCACCTGAATAGGCAGGGGGGTCAGAAACGGGTTTGCACTACTCAGCAGGACCCCTAAAACCCTCACCACAAAGGCCCACCTTATAGTGCTGCCAGTTGGTGAAGAAGTTGACAGAGCCATCTTGCCGCCGCTGGATGACGGTCCAGCCTCCACCCTCCTGTTGCTGTTCACACCACACAGACACCACACGCCGGCCTAGCCTCAGTTCATACACTCCACTCTGCCTATGGCCTGCCCCATGGGCCTCTGCACAATCCCGCCATGGGCCTGTGGAAAAAAGGACATGGTGAGGCACAGCCTGGGCCAACCAATCTTACTGGATTAAGAGTCCTGATTCTCACAAGTCCCCTCATCCAAATAAAAGTCATCTTTCTTTGCCTTCCCCTGAATAAAGAGGATTCCCTTACCAGAGTAAGTCCTTCTCTCACTCTAAGAAGTCTGGGCTTCTGTGGCCTCTTCACTAGAAATAGGAGTCCTGAATGTGGTTCTCTGAGCCTACCCAATTTCCCACCAAAGTAGCAGTCCTAAATGTGCCATATCCTCAAAGTAAGAGAGTCTCTGCTAGGTGCAGTGGCATATGCCTTTAAGCTCTTGAGAATCAAAGACAGGCAGATCTCTGAGTTTGAGGCCAGCCTGGGCTACACGGTAAGTTCCAGGCCAGCTGGGGCTACAGGAAGTCACTGTCTCAAAACACCATAGTAGGGCTGGAGAGATGGCTCAGTGGTTAAGAACACTGGCTGTTCTTGCAGAAGACCCAGGTTTGAATCCCAAAACCCACGTGGCAGCTAACAACTGTTAACTCCAGTTCCAGGGGATCTGACAGCCTCCTCTGTCCTCCGCAGGCATTGCACAACACGGGTGCACTTACCTACATGCAGGCAATACACGCATACACATAAAATAAAAATAGTAACATTTTTTTAAAAAAACCACCATAGTAAGAAGACTAGTTTTGTTTGGTGCATGTGTGTTGGTAGGTATGTAACCCTGGACCCTGATTCTAGGCAGGTGCTCCACCACTGAGCCACATCTCCAGCCTCCTGTTTTTCTTATTAAAAAAACAAAAACAAAAAAAACTCAGTAAGAATCCTAGGGTTTGGAGCAATGGCTCAGCAGTTAAGAGCACTGGCTACTCTTTCAGAGGACCAGGGTTCAGTTCCCAGCACCCTCATGGTGGCTAACAACTGTCATTAACTCCAGTTCCAGGGGATCTGATGCCTTCTGGCCTCTATGGGCATTACATGACACTGGTGCACTTACATATATGTGAGCAAAACACACACAAAATGAATAAAAAATTTTTTAAAGATCCTTTCTTGTCCCTTAATCAGAATAAGAGCCTCATTTTCCTGCAGTCCTCACACTATGAGCCAAATCCTGACTCATATTTCCTTCTACCCACAGGCACTGGGAACCCCTGGCTCCTCACCCACCTCCCCACAGCCTTGCCTCGACTTACCCACTGGCCTGGTGGGGACAGCCAGGTGCCCCACAGGCAGAGGAGAAGTCACAGGCCCCTGCTGTCTCAGGCTCTGGTCTCCCTGGTGCTCTGGGGCTGGGTCCCGCCTCCTGCTGGTATTGCTGGCCCCTCCAACTAGACTGATGGGAACCACCGGTGCCAGGGGCGGTGGCAGGACCTGGGGCCACAGAGTCAGATAGGATTGTGTATGTGAACCTCCTCCCCCAGGCCTGCTTGGAGGAAGGTTGGTGGATAAAATCTCCAGCCATCCAAATAGAAAGGCAGGGGCATATCCCAGCAGCCACACTCATCCTACTGAAAGACCAGCTCTGGGCTTTTTGTTGTTGCTGGTGGCAGAGTTGTACGTGTTGCAAAGCCTCATGTACACAAGTTCCGAGACCAAAGAACATTGCGTGTCCTGCTCTATCACTTTTCCTTGTTCCTTTAGAACAGGTTCTCTCAAAAGCCAGGCCTAGTAGTGGCGCAAGCCTTTAATCCCAACACTCTGGAGACAGAGGCAGGCGGAGCTATGTGAGTTCCAGGCCATCTGGGGCTATAAGAAAAAAAGAAAAAAAAAAAAAAAAGCCAGGCCTTTAATTCCAGCACTCAGGACGCAGAGAGGCAGGCGGATCTCATCGAGGCCAGACTCCTCTACATAGCGAGTTCCAGGCCAGCTGTGGCTACAGGGATACCCTGTCTTAAAAAAATAAAATAATGAGGGCCGGGAGTGGTGGCGCAGGAGGAGTGATCCTGAGGATCTCTGTGAGTTCAAGGCCAGCTTGGTCTACATAGTGAGTTCCGGGCCAGCTGGGGCTACAGGGAGACCCTGTCTCAAAAAGACAAAAAAAAAAAAAAAACTTTAAAAATAGTCCATCTTTGTGCTTCATGTGATCATAAAGTACATGAGCATCGGCTGTGTGAATACTCACCTCCAGTGAGTGCTCAATAGACTCACATGTGACCTACGCCAAGAGCGTGAGGGGCTGGGTGGATTCGAATTCCGGTGTGCGGATGGAAGACACGGCGGTGCATACCTGTTGCTGCGACCCGGAGGGCAGGCGCTCCAGGCGGGCGAGGACACCACCCTGCCGGGCCACCAGCTGCGCCAGCTCCTCCAACTTCCTCTCCAGCTGCTGCCAGCGCGTCACCTGCGCCTGGGTGAACAAGGAGCACAGCTGCAGGAGCAAACCCCGCCCACACAGGACGCCGCTCCGCCCCTGCAAGGAACTGTCCCCGCAAGGTTCCGCCCACATAAGGACCCCGCCTCGCACAGGCCCCGCCCTGCCCCTTTCCCGGTCCCTGCGCAATGAGCACCTCATCGGTGTGGGTGCGGTCCTCCTTTATCCTAAGGAGCTCCTGTAGCAGCGCCTCCTGGCGACTCACGCGCAGGCGCAGCTCAGCCACCTCGCTGGCGTTGGCGGCCTCTGAGTCCCGCTTTGCTGAGGCGGGGTTGCTCCAGCACACCGCGCCGGTGAAGTTGTGCTGTGGCAGCACGAAGGTGTAGCTGCAGCGCGCACAGCCCGCTCGCGCCCGCCATGCGCAAAGCACCAGCAGCAGCTGCAGCGCGCTCAGCCCGGGAGTCCTCATGGCCACCTGCCGGCGGAGACAGGAGGGATGGATGCAGAGGCCTGCCTCCTGTATGCATGAAACAAGCCTGTTTTGTTTGGGTTTTTTTTTTTTTCTTGAAACGGGGTCTCCCTGTAGCCCCAGCTGGCCTACAACTCGCTATGTAGACCAGGCTGGCCTTGAACTCACAGAGGTCCACCTTTCTCTGCCTCCAGAGTGCTGGGACTAAAGGCGTGTGCCACCACATAGGTAGCCCAGGCTAGCCCCGAGCTCCCTGTGTAACCGAGGATGACCCTGAGTTCTTGATCCGCCTGTCTACCTCCCAAACCAGTGTCCTGCTGCAGAGCTAAAACTACAGCTTACAGTCGTAAATTCTGTAGTCAGAATTGATCAAATCCCTAGGCCTGTCAGCTCATCTGTTCAGAATTCCTCCCTGTCCCCACTGCCTCTCCCAGGCACCACCTGGATTCTATTCGATGTGCATCTGCAGAGCTCAACCACTTTTGTCTGAAAACATCAGACCTGGTCACCTCCTTCCCTCCAGAACCTTCTGTGGCTCCCAGGCCCGCTCTCTGCCACTAGGGACAGTCCCAGCCTTGTTCCATTTCTAATTTAGGGCATGGGCTCACTATGTAGCCCAGGCTGGTCCAGAACTTGAGCTCCTCCTTCCTGACCCTCCCCAGTGCTAAGATGGTGCCACCAAGGCCTGCTTTGCACAGTGTCTTTGACCAGGTAAATATCTGTGGCTGCTTACCCAGCCCTGCAAGGCCCACAGCCAGGCCATCAGATGCCATTCTCCAACACATGGGGAGCCCACACTTTTGAGCGCTTAGTGTGCTCCTGGAACCAGACACATGCACACTGCCTCATGTCAGCACAGTGTTCTGCCACATGAAGTCTGCACAGTTCTGGTCACATACACACACGGAGGGAGGGAGGGAGAGAGGGAGAGTGAGAGAGAGAGAGAGAGAACTATGTAGACCAGGCTGGCCTTGAACTCACAGAGATCCGCCTGCCTCTGCCTCCCCAGTGCTAGGATTAAAGGCATGCACCACCACGGCCAGCTCAACAGACATTTCTTGAGCACCTGTTGTATACCAGGAGCTATTCCAGACCACAGGGGACACTGCCTTAGCTAAAACAGAAAATCCCTGCCCCATCAAGGTCAGACCATAACCAGTGCAAAGGCCTCGGGGTCAGACCTCGTTTTGAATTCTCTCAAAAGAACAAAAAAGGAGGCCTGTGAGGCTGGAATAGAGCAAAAGATGGAATAAACAGAAGACAGAACAGGAAAGTACCAGCTCAAAGCAGGTTGGGCCTGGTGCAGAGGATTTGGGGTTTGGCTCTGAGGTGGATGGGAGCCCTGGAGGGTTCAGGAGCATGGCTACAAGCACCCCCTCCCCAACCTCAAACCTTGGGGCAGAGTCAAGAAACCAGGAAGACTCCCCTCATCCAAGCCAAGAGGGTCTCCCTACAAATAGCATCTATCTCCACCCTCTCACCACTCACAACCAAGATCCGGACTCCAGCAAGGTTTGCAGTGGACACAAGAAATCTGAAGAAGAGCCAAGGGTCTGGAGGACCTCTGAGCTGAAGGTGACAGAGGCTGGAGGGTGAGAAGCAGAGAGAATTGGACACGCCCCCATCCCCCAAGCCTGGGAGTGCAGCAAGTGTAAATATTTAGTATTTCCAGTGTGAGAACCAGACAAAAATGCCAGATCCTCCTGCCTGGGGCTGCCAGAGATGATAACAGAGGCTACTGCCCTCCACACAGAGCGTGGGAGGATGCAGACCCTGGTTGGACCTGTGGGATCCAAGCTCTGACAACCACACCACACATAAAAGGAAAATGGTTAGTATTGGTGAGCACCTGTCTAGTGCTGGGGCACCCTCAAAGACTACGGCTTGGATCTCATACAATCCTAGCAGGCTAGTTGAGGGCATGTATCAATGGTATAGCCCCGGCCCAGAATCCCCCAGTGAGGGGCTTGGGGACATGGCAAAGGGGTAAAGCACTTGCAAAGTCCTAAGTTCATATTTGGTACTGCTAAAAGAGAATGTGCTGAATAGCTTTAGTGTCAACTTGATATACCCAGGTTGAGGAAGCCTCAATTGGGGAATTTCCTTCATTGGACTGGCCTGTGGCCATGTCCATGGGGCACCTTCTTGATTGTTGAGTGACGTGGGAGGGCCCAGCCCACTGTGGGTGGTGTCACCCCTGGGAAGGTGGGCCTGTGTTGTATAAGAAAGCAGGCTGAGCAGGGGCCAGGGGAGCAAGCCAGTAAGCAGCATTCCTCCATGGCCTGTGCTCCAGCTCCTGCCTCCAGGTTCCTGCCCTGAGCTCCTACCTTAGGCTCCTGGATGAACTGTGACCCAGGCTATGTAAGCTAAATAAACTCTTTCCTCCCCAAGTCAGTGTTTTGTCACAGCAATGGAGAAACAAACTAGGACAGAGAACAAAACCAGTAACTACAAAATCCCACAGAGCTGGAAATGAAAAACCAGGTTTCTAACAATTCTGTTAAAAATACTGTCACATGGGCTGTTGAGATGGCTGTGGTGGTTTGAATGAAAATGTCCTCCATAGGCTCCAAGTATTTGGACATTTTGTCCCCAGTTGGTGGCGCTGTTTTGAGAGGGCTTAGAATGTGTAGCTTTTCTGGAGGAAGCATGTCACTGGGGGTGAGCTTAGCGTTCTTATGTCTGCCCAGATCTGGAGTTGCTCTCTTGCTTCCTGTGCCTGCTTGAAGATGTGAGAGCTTAGGTTCTGCTCTTCCTCCAGCCATCTCTGCCGCCATGCCTCCCCACCAAGACGGACTGTAGTTCCCCTGGAACTGTAAGCTCAAATAATTCTTCCTTCTATAAGTTGTTTTGGTCAGCATTTCTATCACAGCAATAGAAACATAACTAATACAATGGCTGAGTGAATGAAGATGCTTGCCATCAAGCCTGACAACCTGATTTCTATCCTTGGGCCCCACTGAAACAATAAACGCTTGCAAAATGTCTTCTGACCTCCACACGGGTGCATGGCATTTGTCAAAATGCACACACAAAAAATAAACTTTTTAGCCAGGCGTGGTGGTGCTCGCCTGTAGTCCCAGCACTTGGGAGGCAGAGGCAGGTGGATCTCTGTGAGTTCAAGGCCAGCCTGGTCTACATAGTGAGTTCCAGGACAGCTGGGGCTACAAGGAGACCCTGTCTCAAAAAGACAAAAAAAAAATAAAATAAAATAAAAAATAAACTTTTTAAAGCTAAAGGAAAATGGGGCTGAGCTGGGTGTGGTGGTGCATGCCTTTAATCCCATGACTCCGGAGGCAGGGGCAGGCAGATTTCTGTGAGTTCCAGGCCAGCCTGGTCTATATAGTGAGTTCCAGGACAGTTGGGGCTACAGGGAGACCCTGTCCAAACAAACAAACAAAAAAAAACCTCCATGCTCCACCTACCAAGGCGTGTTCCACCACGCCCGGCAATAAAAATATTTTTCAAAAGAAAAGAATCACACTGTCTGCGAGAGCAAAAATGAAGAAAATAAAGTGGAGAGTGACTCATTTCATGAATGACACAGGCAGCGACGGGATTCGAACCGACAAATAACTAAAACA